GCCGTTTGGCCAGTCGAGATCCTGCATTTGGGCAACGGGAGATCGTTCTTTTGCCAGGTGTCTCTGGCGAATTTCTGAACGGTGCTCACGAAGATAGTCAGAAGTCAAGTTGTTCATGTATTTGTAAACCATACCTAAGTCGTTAAAGAGAAGTTTTTTCCTTCACATTAAGCCATGGTGATTACCAATCACCACCCCGGCTGATCACTGTGCTAAATTTATTTGCCGAGAGAAGTGGATTTTCGATAGTGGCTAATTAATGGAGCATTTTTCTTGGAAGACAGCGGTTAAGAATTTTCCAAATCGAGTTGGAATTGCCATTCGATTTTAAATTTTCTGAGCGAACATGTTCTTTTTTAGCAAGCTTGATTTCGCGTCTAACCTCCTGACGAAAAAAGCGATAAGCACTCCGGTGTAATTTGTCATTAGTTTTCGTGGGCTTTTTGTGCCACTTATCAAGCATGTTCATTAACAACAACAATAACAATATTAATTTCTATAGCGCATTTCCATGCAATGTTCTAATGCGCTTTACAACACTGTGCGGGGGACTTTTTCCAGACTGCCAGTGGCAGTTTACAATTAATAAAGAAGAAATTTTACACATGCCTCCCTCCCCCCAATTCCTAATAAACAGGCCACAGTAATCTCGTAAAGTGGGTTCTTTAACGTCCCCTGCCTAACCAAATTAACTGACAGATGCAGGAGACGGGACCTCCGGCTTTACGCCCTTTCCAAGAAGACGAAGCAACGTGAGTGAAGCGTCTTGCTTAAGGACACAACGTAAAGCCCCAGCCAGGACTTGAACCCGCGCCATCTGACCCAAAGTCCAGCGCACTGACCACTGGACTACTCACGCCCCCCCTTGATCTCAAGCATGATGAACGGATTAGACCTTGAATTGGAATTTCTCATAATTCGTTTGATGGGAGCGTGCTCGTCCAAAAACCTGAAGGAAAAAGCAGTTAAAGACATGTATTTGATCTTCAGGATGGTCGAAAAGAAAGTATTGCGATCGTAATTTTTATAGCTTCTCGTGGTTACAAAAATATTCCGTGGCCTTAGTGTCTTGAACTTAAGTGTTAAGCTCACCAATCTGTAATCGCTGAGTGTAGACTGTATTACGTCACAAGAATAGATGATATTCTCGTTCGTTGTCAGAGCAACATCGATGAATGATTTGGATTTTTCAGTTACTCTTGTTGCGGTTTTAACGAGTTCTGTTAAACTAAAAGTCGAACAAAAATTGCTCCACGCGCGACTATCAGAATCACTCTCAAGAATATTACAGTTCCAAGGTTTAATTAAGACATTTAAGCCATGTGGCAAAGAGTGCATTCATTGACAAAGCATGTATTTACATAGTTTAATGGCAAATAAAACTGAGTCTAACGGTTACTAAAAGGCTTAAAGTCAAGCTTCTAAATTATGTTTTTAAACACGTAAAGATTTGAGGTACCACGGGTAGACGAAGGTAAGTTATTTCAAAGTTGGCTGGCGATTCTTGCGTATGATTTAGTTTGTTGAGGACTTTCACCACTGAATAAAACATGGCCTGCGAAGCAAGCCCTGGGGGAGAGGAAGGGAAATTGGGGCGAGCGGAGCGAGCGCAATCCCCTCTCCTCTCCCCCAGGGCCTACTTTGCAGGCTAAATAAAACATTAAGTTCGTGAGAAGAGGGGAAATAATCACTAGCTTAATGTTAAGCATATTTTCCTTCTCGTTGTCATTTGAAACGTATAGACATCAGTATGGAGAATATGCATACTGACGCTAGTTATAGAGTATAACTAATCCTGCATGCAATTAAGTCCTACATGAAGCAACATTTGGCCTTGATTCAAATAAGTTCGGTCAAGAGCCATAATTGGGACTGGCTCTTGGTTCGGTGCGTAGATTCTGCTTTTAGGGCGCAATGAACATACAGGTCTGCAACAAAACAAGGGCTTTTAAGGGCGCTCAGGACCTGTTATATCCTCATAAAAAATTTAAAATGTAATTCCTTTGCCAAAAAAAATTCATTTCTCAATTTCAGGGTTGGCAATCGCTGTAACCCGAGACTCCTGAAGTGCTCACACCCTTGTTTGGAAATCCAAGATCAAGATTATACAAATTCAGGCAATGCAATTCGAAATCATTAGACATCGTATCACTGCTGTTGCTCTTCCTAGATATTGCAACTAGGTACTTTTAATTAGAGGAAATTATTGAGCTACCATGGGCTCTTATGCGTTCTTTTTTTTTTTTTTTTTTATATATATATTATCTATGTAATAAGTAACATTTTCAAAGGACGATGATCCTACAACTATAAAGCCGAGCCTGAGACTCGTCGCCAACGTTGACGAGGGTATGGTTCAATCGAGATTGCGTGAAAATTTTTACGAGACTCGCGATTTTAATTCGAGATACCATTCGTTGGCCCTAATTAAGGATAATCAATTATTTATTTAGGTTCTTTTTTAAATGACCGAGTGCGCCGCTTGCTAAAAATGAACACAAACAAGGTTGGACCAATTTTTACCAGATTGAGGAAGGCGCTCCAAAAAAGACTTTTCTCGGAGCGAGGTACTGCTACTTTCTAGTTTTTAATTTTGCCCTGAAATTTATTACCAAGCTTACTTTATAGGCCAAGTGAAAATTCCTCGGGTAAATATCCATTTTTTTGCAATTTCTTAATGCTTAGGCGATTCAAAGTAGCATTAGAAGGGGTTTTTGTGAGTTTTCAGAAGCTAATTTCACTCATTTAGGACTCAGGTTATCCGATGCATAATTGCACCGAGTTCTCTTTAAGTCTAATTTTATCTTTTTAAATGATGTCGGTTAATATTCACGGATTTTTTAGATTCCGTGCACTGACATAAGTTCAAATTGAACCTTTCTCAAGTTTGAAATTTTATCGAGCAAATTGAAGTAAAATTTGAGATAAAAACGCGAGTTTGTCCATGTAGAGCCGGTAACAAAAGTAAAAAGGGAACGGAAACTGCTGCATGACTGAATGCATCCAAGACTGTTTAAATCCAAGACTGTTTAAGTCCTAGTTGATAATCAATAGCAGGGAAGGACTGGAATCTTCGAGAACTTTTTTTAAAATTACATTCTTTGTGATGAGGGAAATGCTCTGGTCATTTTCAGAGGTGTCTGTTTTAAAAGTGTTCTCCTCTACTTATCTACCTCACGTTTGAAATATCGGTTGATACTTAAGTATCAGATGAGTGGTTGATTACGTAACCATCGTACTAAACCATACAAGGGTAATTTTTTTTTTTTTGAGCACGTTGGCTTCAATTTCTTGCTCTTGTTCCAAAGGTGAATAAGGCCATTCACTGGATAAATCCCTATCCAATGGATAGCACAGAACGTTTTACTCTCACCTATTCGCTGGATGGATATTTATTTATCCGCCCTTCGAACAACTGTGCACTGGAGAGCACTTTGATATAAATATGTGTTGACTTCCTAAGGCTGCATCTGCTTGTTGACTTGAGTTTAAGGGCTTAAACATTACGCATGCATGCTTTTCAAGCACTGGTGCCGAATGTAGACTTTAGCAAGGATCAGCTGTCACCACATTTAAGGCAACTTTTTTGTTTAAACTTTTGGCAATTTGTCAACTCTCAATTAATCCCATTCAGACGTTCTTATATGTTAATGTCATGCTATTCATTTTTTTTTTTTTGGAAGAAGACCAAGGAACTAGCTGAGTAGAGTAGACGGAGACAAAATAGGAAACGGTAGCAATTGTTCTCAAAAGACGAAAATATACTTGCAACCTCTTTGAAGAAAACACATCACTTGGCGATGTAAGTATAATACAAAAGAACTTGATTATGTCACCAGTCATTATGTAATCGTGCTACTAAGAATCAGATGAATTATGGATTACGTAACCGTCATTTTAAATCATACGAGAACGACTTTTCAAACAAATTTGGCGTTTGATTCTTGGAGAGCACTTATACAAAAACTTATGCTGAATCTCCATGGCTGCATAGAGATTCAGATTAGATAGCCGGAAAAAAAAATTGAGCATTTGAGCAGTATGAAGTCTTAGACCAAAGTCAGTTGTTCAATTAAAGGCGATTTTTCAACCTTGGCAATCTGTCAGTTTTTCTTAAATCCCATCCGGACCTTCACATACAATCATATTATGCAATATTTTATTATTCTTTTTTTCAAGTCTCAGACCAATGCCATCTGTTGGATCTCTTGGGGATACCAACAAGAATCCCAACAGGAACCCTAACTTCTTTTTCTTTGAACTTATCCTGAGAATGGTCCTTTCTGGTCGTTTACTAGACACTTATTTTTTCTCCCGATGGCTTAAAATATAAAGGATTAATCAATTACAAAATTTAGTTATACGTTTTGTAATAGTATTGAGTATAATAACTGATATGCCGATTTAAAAGATAAATAAATCAGTTTGGTTCTACGATTTTTGCGGCTTTCCAAACTTACCGCAATGAAAAATATATTTGCGGAAGATGCAGGGTGAGATAAGAAGACATACGACAGCTTTCAAAGGCCGATCCAGCCATGTTGATAATCATAATGAGGTAAAACTTCATTTCATTAGGAAAAGTTTGCAAGTGTTGTTCTGTCCCCTCATCCTACTCTACATAACCGCTGGATTCATTACTCCATTCACCGCGGGCTCGTGCACTAGCGGCAAATGTTTCGCCACTTTCCGTTTCGTCATTGGAAAGGATATGGTGGATGGCCACGCCCTACTTGGTCACGTATTTGCAAATGTCTCAGTGATAGGAGTCAAGGGCTGTTACAGAGCATGTCAAACAAACTGCCGTTGTATCTCGTTCAACTTCATGACACATTCCTACCAGGAAAATTGTCAACTAAATGAAGAAAACCGACATATAAAGCCCAGTGCCTTGAGAGCGGTGGCTAGCTCTCAGTACTACGATCTGGTAGTCCGCTACAACATTGCGGTGGGAAATTATACGTAGCCAGCGTGATAAACTTATATTTAAAATATGAAATTGTATTTTAAGAGTTTTCAGTTGTGATTTGTTCTCATAAATTTTGAAGACTCGCGTGATGCGCTCAGTTAAGCAATGAGCCTATACTGTAAAGAACCTCTTTCCGCCAATCGATGCTAAAGAGTTAATTGATTTTCTTGTCATAGGGCAATTCCGTAGCTTCATCGTCTAGTTGTCCTCAGTGTTCAAACAGTTGTTGCAGAAATCGGCAGTGTCTTAATGGAGGAACATGTCAGGAAAATTGTCAGGAAAATGGAAAACGATTCATCTGTGACTGTTCGGGATTTATTGGCCAAATTTGTGAGCAGGGTAAAAAATTAATTTAATCTATAGTGCAACTGCAGTACTGCACTCTTTGAAGTTCTAATAAATCGAAAAGTTTCCCTTCTGCAATCGGCTTGATAGACTAGCGGAAAATTGATACTTTCGTAGGATTAAATTACGAGTCGTAGCAGACTATTCAACCTCATTCATTTATGTATCAATTTCAAATGCGATTCACGTTTAGAGTGTCAAGACGCCCTTGGCATGGAGAACCGTGCAATAACTGACGGACAAATAAGCGCCTCTTCAAGATGGAGTCACCGCCATGACGCTTCTAACGCCAGACTTCACAATCGAGCAAGCGCAGATGGCGACGGGATCTGGGAACCAGCAACAAAAAACACCAATCAGTGGCTTCAGATTGATTTGGTCACGCAACACAGTGTGACACGTGTGGCAACACAAGGAAGAGACGATCGTTCACATTGGGTGACTAAATATCAATTACAGTATAGTAACGACGGGTCGACCTTCCAGTATCACAGAGAACGAGGGAAACATATCAACAAGGTTAGTCATTAAGCAGATCTTTGGACTCGCCGAAAGTTTTGATAAATTATGTGGTAGTTTCATGCAAAAATGTTTTGGTTCTGCTCATCATGACGTCAGTATCTGCGAAAAAAGACTGTGTTAGCTTAATTGTCTGCCTCAGCGAAAGTATGTCTTTAAGCGATTAAATCTCCAGTACAGACTCACGGCAAGGGTCCTATAAAGAGAGAAACAGTGCCTTTCAAATGTTTCATTAAGGCAGATACGATCAAGGGATGAAACGAAACGAGAGCCTTAAACATATATAAGTTCAACAGCAGCCAGCTGTAGTCGCTGTGACATCAAATATTTCACAGCAGGTCTTATACTTTATTAAGGAATTTTCAGGAAACAGGGATGCAAGCTCCGTGGTGTCAAATTACTTGATTCCACCAATCACAGCGCGTTACATTCGTTTCCGACCATTGGCTTGGCACTGGCAGATAGCCATGAGAGTGGAGCTGTATGGTTGTCATGGTAATATGGACTTTTTGCTTTAGGAAGTCTTCTTAGTCGAATCATGAGAGCATCATGGTCTCTTTTCAAAACTTTGCGCACCTAAATAACATTATCAAATGTTTTGATTCCGCGTGAAAATTTCTCACAGCAATGGATCTTTTTAGCAAAATTTTCTTTATTTCTAGATGAAATAAACAAAAAAACAAAGGTACAGTGGGCTTATATAATCTTTTTTCTACAAAAGCCATATGGTAAAAGTGTTTATTCAAAGTGATTTGAATAAGACTAAGCAAAACATACACCGGTACCCCTTAGATGATTTCCAGGCTATTTCTCTATTGTGGCGCACTTTCTGTTAATTCATTTTCGAATTTAGAGCCGGTGAGTCTTAACAAGTCCCAGATGTGTCCCGGCATTCAAATCGATCATCACTGTCGTATTATTTTGTAGAAGATAAGAATTGTAAAGGAATGTATTTTGCCCGCCATCACTTCTGCAAAACCCTCACAGGCAATGCATGGTTTCATCGATAGATATACCAACTGTATATTTGATTTGTTCGACATTTAGATTGTAACCGCACCCTCGGTATGGAAAGCCGGGCAATCCTTGACGGACAAATAAGTGCCTCGTCACAATATAGTATATACCACGGCGCTATTTACGCCAGACTCCACAATGAAGCAGTTCAAAATGTACACAATGAGGCCTGGGAACCATCGACAACAGATGCCAATCAGTGGCTCCAGATTGATTTAGTTACGCAATACGGCGTGACACGGGTGGCAACTCAAGGAAGATACCAGCTTACTCATTGGGTGACTAAGTATAATCTGCTCTACGGTAATGATGGGTCAACCCTCCAGTATTACAGAGAAAGAGGACAAAATATAACGGTTAGTCATTGCTCGATATGGACATGAGGTTTGTTTTGAAATTACATACCAGTTACAAGTAAAGATGTTTATATTCATTATGCAAATAATCTCTTTCGATCAGATTGTTTTGTCTTGGGAAGATATGCCTGCAAGGCTTAATGGTTTAAGGAGTATCGTTGTTTATCGCCGGGGGAGGGGAAGAGTCGGGGGTTGAAGGATTTGAGTGGGGGATCACATGGCTTTCAGGGGAATGAAGGGGGATATCATCAGCTGTCGCCAATAGAGTATAAAGAGGAGGGGACTATCGAAAATTGATTGCCAATAATGGGAGGTCCTAAGAGTAATAGTACAGAACCGTATGGAAGGATTAAGCAAATTTTATCGGGACGCAACCAAAATTACTTCTTACTCCAACCCAAAGCGATAGATAATGACTAGTCCCTTACAGATAATTTTAAATACTTAATGAGTGAAACGTATCTGTACATTGTTTAAAGGAATTTTCTGGAAACACAGATGGTACAACTGTGGTGTCACATGACCTTATTCCACCAATTGCAGCACGTTACATTCGTTTCCAACCATTGGCTTGGCACTGGCATATAGCCATGAGAGTGGAGCTGTATGGTTGTCGAGGTAACACAGTTTAACTACACTTTGGTCGAAATTCTATCGTAATAAGGTCGGAATTTAATTCTTCAGTTCTGTTGTAAAATCATGTGGAAAAAGTGCTCTGGTGCAAACATTTAATTATGTTTTTCGTTTCGCAACAGGTATCTAAAGCAACAAGAGCGAACTGTCAAAAAAGGGAAAGAAAATAAAGATCTGTTTTTAATAATGCTGTCAATCTTATACAATGGATCTCAACTATTCACGAGTGGTTCATCAGACAGTTTGCGTTAGTTGATAAATGAACCAAGCAGGAAGACTAATTTAAAGAACGATGAAAGATTGCTTGGTGAAGTTATTACATAAAAGGTATCAAGAATGAATTTCCAAGCAGGAAAAGAAACTTATGTCTCTCATTAGGTACACTGTTGATCTAACATTGTCTAACACTTAAAATCTCACTATTCAACAACCGGTTCATTGGTCAGCTTTTGTTCATTGAGATATGAAGTACACAAGAAGATTTAAAGAAAGATGAAATATTTTCGAGGCATGACTGAAAACAACTTGGCTCGATTTTTGAAAGGATGAAAGATGCGCCAAAGTTACTCGAAGCATGAGCGAGAGTATCCGATTGCCACTCGCCGCGCTCTTCAAATTTACAATGTTCCTCGATCAGTCACATCTCGATGATCATACAGCTTACGAAAGAACCAATCAACTCAGAACAGTTCAACACAATAGAAAAATAACGCACAAGAAAGAAACTAAGGAATATTTCAGAGCTTTTGGGGAATCAGGTAGATTCTAATTTTAACGTGACACAACTTAAATTCTCTAGTCCCCCTCAGGTGTTAGATAATGGTCGGCCCTAAGAACCAATCGTCTTTTGACGGTACAACGCAGCAGTTTTATGAGCCCAAGGAAAAAGCTAAAGGCTTTTCGAGAAAAGCCGCTACAGTTCACTTTCAGATTAGCTGGTCATAATCTTTCATGTCGTCGTCTAATAAATAGATTAATGCTATGCTTTTATTATTGATATCCTTTCTGCCAATTCCGAATGACAACGCCGAATTTTTCAGGTTGAAGATAATTACTGTTATGATAAGTGGGTTGTAAGTCACGTGATCTCATGGATCACGTGCAGTGTGAAACTACGGAATAAACAAGTTGAAGAAAAGTTGAACTCATAACAATTACAGCGTAGAAGGCCATAAGACGAAAAACACTATTGTAACGAGTCTGTACAGTTAAAAAATATAAAGCTGGTTAAGTGAGTTTGCTGAAAAAGGTATTTTAATAAAATTGTAGAGTTTTATGATCATGACATTTCGGCTTAGACTTCAGTCTTAAAGCGATTTCCTATTTTCACTAGATGAAAGGAAGCGGGGAAAGGTCTTTAAAGATTTCTTTGAGATTTTGTTAGTTCTATATTACGTTGCAGAGTTTCGCTGTGGATATTTTGCTGTTTAGTTAAGTTCAAGCATTACAACAGGAATATTCCTCTGAAAAACTGCCTACCTCGCTTTACCGTTCGGCTTCTTTGTGTCCAAAATCAAATTGAGACACTTATGTCCAAAATTAATAATGAGACACGTGTTCAAAATAAAATATCGGACGCTAGTGTCCAAAATAAAACATCGGAAACTGGCGTCTAAAATCAAAAATCGGATTCTATTGCTTAAATTTAAAAAATGGGACAAAAAGATTTGTTGCAACCTCTTTTAGCGGTCTGTTAGTCTCCAATCTCTGCGCAGTATTGGCATATTTAAATAGTTTCCGAGCCAATCAGTTATCAGAAAGAATTTTCAGTTGGGTGTTTCAGTGTCGTTTCGTAAATGTATCCTATGTTCTTTCTGTCCTTTCTCCGTTTGAGTTTCATTTCCCTTGTTTCTTATTACTGTTACTTTGATCACTTCTTCATGTATTTCAGAAACCACTGGTTAAGAAATTAAAACTCGAGAATTTATCGTTACATTCACATCAGTGCCCAACTGTCAAAGATCGGCTTTAATCAAATTGGCGACTCAATGGCAATGAAACTCTATAAGCTCGAAAGTATACTCTCAATTTTTACATTATTGCCGGCGCGCAACCATTGTCTTGATGTTTAATTGTTTTCGATGAATAATTTTCTTCAATATTTTTCTCCGTCACTCTCACAACCGAGGCGTCTATTACTTCTATTAGCTCTTACTTGTCCGTGAATCCGGTTCAATGACACACAATTGAAAATTTGCCTGAAATAAGATTTCCCACGAAAAAGGAAAATCAGAAAACCTCGAAATATTGATGCAGCTGCCAATAAATTATTAACCGTAGTAATTTACACATCAGTCAGGCATTTTGTGGAAAAGTTAAGTTTTGTTGGACCATTATCCCTGCTGCAGCCAAGGAAATTCTAAAGCACGAATTATAGCAGTTACTCTTCACGTTTCAGCGAACAAGCACCATTTTGATAACTATAAGATAGAGGTAAGCCTAAAAAAGACCTGAACAAAGGTGTTTTAAAGCAGTAGATGTTTTCAGAAATGAGGAATACATTAGTTTTGCGTCAGAAATGAATGCATGCTTGAGTGAACTGAGTTATAATCTCTTAGTGAAAAGTCAAAATGTAGGATGATATTTGCCTGACATTAATGTTATCTTCTGAACAGTTTTCCTTCACTTTTAAAAACACATATAGCAAGTTAAGCAACTCGGGCGTAAAAGCTCATCTAAAAGGAGAACAAAAAAGAATCTATCGCTCGAATGAAAGGAGCAGGTGTTTTAACTTTGTGGCAATTTCAGTAATTTTTTGAAAAAAAAAACTGTTATCACTCCTTCGAAAATGTTTCTACTTAGTTCATGTGCCTCTACTTTCAGTTTTGAATTGTGATTAAAATTTCAGATTACATTGTCTCAATTTTGTGGATCAAAGTAATCTTTGAATTTTTTTTTCTTGAGTGTACTGAGACTGAGCCAAAATCAACAGCTTCCCTGTGACGCTAACCAGCTTGAAATGTAAGTAGAATAGATAATTAGATATAATTGAATAATACGGTATGGAGCAAATAAAGGTACATATATTCCTTTTGTGTATCTAAGAGAAGCTTTGGTCGTCCTTTAATTCATAAGCTTGTGTTATTTTAACAAAATTTTCCTGGCTTATGACATTTTCGGAAAATTCTCACAACCTCACTTATCAGAGAGATAATTTGACCTATGGGTTTCTAAGCTGAAAACAAAGGGAGCCCCAAAAATGTTAAATGCATTAAATACATCACTACAGGCAAAAGGAGTCTGAATAAATTACAATTATTGGTATGAAACGTATATCAATCCGAAAGCCTCGGCAGTTCTCGTAGTTCAACTTCCTCCATGATAATATACCACATTTACTTAAAAAACATCAACGCGTAAAAGTTCGCAGCCTGTAGATCCATTTATGCGAATCATCAAGCACACCCAGTTAGTTTTGAAATCTTCAGAACGTCCGTCCATTGCAATGTTCAAGGCATAATTTTCTTTTTAGCAGATAATGTACCATGTTTCCGTTCGTCTGTTCGGTAATGACAGATCTGTGATGACGTCAAAACACGGTAAGAACAAAAAAAGGCGCAAACGAGTCAAAATATTGTTAATGTGACGTCATCTATGTTTCTGTCCTTCAATAGATAATAAGTAAGAACCAATCATAAAGGGTGCATACTTCAGATTATCACACAAATAAGCTTACTACACGTGATAAATCGGGTATAATTGAGTTATTATTTTTCAACTTAAGGGGGTTCCCCTTTGAACGACAAGTCAATAACTTGTGTTACTTCTCAGGGAAATATGGTCTTCCTGCCTTTGCCACTGCATAATCCCATTTTCATAGTTGCTGGATTCATTATTCCATTCACCACGGGCTCTTGTGTTACCGGCAAATGTCTCGTCTCATTTAACTTCACTATTGGAAGGAATGTGGTGGATGGTCACGCCCTGCTTGGTCACGTGTTTGCAAATGTCTCAGTGACAGGAGTGATGGACTGTCACAGAGCATGTCAATCAAACTGTCGTTGTCTCTCGTTCAATTTCCTGACACATTCCAGCCAGGACAACTGTCAGCTGAATGAAGAAAACCGACATCTAAAGCCTGGTGCTTTGATTCCGATGGAAGGCTTTCAGGCTTTCATCTACAATTCGGAGGTAAAATGTCCCCCTCGAAATTATTCAAATCATAATGTCATTAAGCATAAAAATCATAACTCTGCATGTATCACGGCTAAATTTACCAAAGAGACATTCATTTTACGATCAAGACTTATTCTCTTGTTTCAGATGATGTTTTAAACTCAGGCTGTCGACAAGTCGCGATCAGCCTTTATCGCAGACAAAAGTCCTTTCTTGGAAAGTCATTGTAAAAACTACAATCAACACGATCAACCATGTATTTTCCTCACAATAGTGCCTAATTTTAAATCAACTGAAATATAAACTACCAATTACAGCTCAATGTATATTGTAGAGCAAATTGGTATCAAGTTACAGCTTGTTAGTTCACTATTGGGAGAAGATTCCTCCTGTTGATTAGAAGACACTGCCTCATTGGGAACCAGTCTCTTATCTAACGGCTGAGCGGAGGGGAGGGAGTATCTCACTAAAATTTACTTGAAGTCTCCTCCACCGCTCCGTATCATTTTAAAGATCCCCTTTACTGGCAGATCATTTTTTATTGTTCCCCTCTTTATACTCTATTAGCGACGACTGAGGCCCCCCTGAAAGCCAGAAGATCCCCCCCAAGATCCTCCGAACCCCCCACCCCCACTCAGTTGATACATAATGACTGGTCTCTTACCATCCAGCAGGCCTGTAGCCAGTGTTATAACAGATGTTGCAGGGTTCAGCCATGTCTCAATGGAGGAATATGTCAGGAAAATTGTGACGTGACTGGAAGGCGATTCTTGTGTCATTGTCCTGCGCCTTTTANTTTGTCTCACAACAAGGTCATCTTTGACTTCTTGAAATTCCTGTTCAAAGGTATGGCAACTAAGCATACAAAATGCAAAATGGAAGTTAGTTTTTGTTCAACAGACAGACAGACAGACAGACATCTATATTTATACAGGATAGCCCCTTCAGTGTAGTAAACACTGGTATCAACGGGGGTCCTGTTACCCACCCATCCCACCCCAGGGGAGGACATCCATCACACAGTAATCTCGTGCGTGGGAAATTAACGTCTCCTGCCCCTAACCCTGCAGGAGACGGGACCTCCATTTATTCGTCCCTATCCGAGAAGACTAGAATATCTAACCATTACTTGATGTTATAGAAAGGTAGCATATTCTTCTCAATTATTTTAAGACCCTGAGTGTTGGTCCGGCCGGGGCTCGAACCCTCGACCTCCCGCACAACAGTCCAGCGCTCTAACCAATTGAGCTAACCGGGAGGCGGTTTTAAATGGAGAAAATTTAGGTGAAACTGAAAGGAACACAGTGTAGTAGCTGTTATGATCAAGAGTGATTCGAACTTTTGATCAACCAGTAATTAAAGGAATTGTCGATTCAAATCTCGTGGCTGAAGGAGAAGTGAGATAAATATCTAAAATGCGCGAAAACTGATGGAGTACTGGTAAAAAAATCTGTTGCTATGTAAGGAAAAACTGTCGAGAAGCTAGGGGGTTGAACAGACGTATATCTAATCTTCTCTCGCACTGAGTTTTTAACTGATTGCCTCACTAGCTTTATGGCGTTCCCTCCCCGAGAAGATCTAAGGGGGGGGAGGGGGGGGGAGAAGCCTGGCTTATATTTCCGAGTTACGGTCACTGGTTCATTATGTTTCCTTACAGTATTTGAGACTTCTTTCATGTGACCTATTATATTTCTTCAAGTCTGTCAGGATGCCCTGGGTATGGAAAGTGGTGCTATTTCTGACGCACAACTCAGTGCCTCTACCGAGCTGGTTCCAGAAAAAGGAGCGAAGTACCGCAGGCTACAATCTAAGTGGAATGGAGTATCAGGGGGAGGCTGGATAGCTAATGTATCTGACACCAGCCAATGGCTACAGATCGATTTATTGGATCAGCACACTCATGTTATAACAAAGATAGCTACACAGGGAAGGAATTATTACGACAACCGTAGAGTAACCAAATATCAACTTCAGTACAGTGACGTTGGAGTCACCTTTTTCTATTACAGAGAAAAAGGCCAAGCTACTGACAAGGTACGAGTTGTTAAAGCAGCAGCAGACTTATGTAATCTTACAAAGATACAGTTATAAGTCTTTCGCTTAGTACGATTTTAGATACAACGAGGTATGCTATCAATTAGTTTTTTACCATGGTTAATTATGAAGACCGACTTCTTTAACCACGGTTACTTAGTTAAGTTTCATAGCCATGTAGCTTAAGTTGAATAAGCAACAGAGCAAAAGTTTTCTTTTCCACGAACTTTTATCTTCTAATCAACAGGTTTTTCCTGGCAATACAGACAGGGATACTGTTGTGTCGCATGACCTGATTCCACAAATCAGAGCACGCTATATCCGTTTTCGACCAATCGAGTGGTCTGGCCTCATAGGTATGAGGGTGGAGATCTACGGCTGTCATGGTAACGTATTACTGTGCAGTTTTTCCAAAACATCCATTCTGCCTTGAGGAGGAGGGTGGCGAAACTTTACTTGAAATATCAGGGGTCCCCCAAACTTTACATCCGATCTCGAAATTTCGTCAGCCTTTCTGATAAGTCACGTGTTCTAGTTATCGTTGAGTGAAAGTATACCAACTGTCGTTTGAGATATCGCGATGCGGATGTGATATATCGCAAGAACACCAATAGTGGCCAAAATGCCAAAACGGCCACTAGTGGCCAAGATGCCAAAACCGTTACTAATAGGAAGTTTTATGGCAGTTGTTTAGTCTCGTTATCGTACTTTCAAACAAGCGTCCCCGTGTCTCCGTAGTCTGCGACTTTACCATTCCTAACGAATGAAGCTTTTTCTAATATCATGACAAACTGAACATCAAAGCCTGTTGTATATTATTCCCAACAGATCGCTGAACGAGATATGGATTACCAAAAGGGCACGTGTACCAAGATTGTTCGTGGTTTTACGTGGCTTCTTTAAGGGTTGGAAAAGTTCAGTTCCACTGCTGAAAAACACACTGAGACTTCAAGNAGTCCCTCCATTTCGGCAAAATCCTAGGCGCGCGTTCAAAAAAATTAGCTTAAGAAAAAACGATAGTGGCTAGAGTGCCGCGCTGAATCCTGGTTGTGCTTCTAGTGCCCCTCACTTGTTCTTACCACATTTCGACGTCGTTTGTGATCTATTGAACAGACCCACATTAAAGTGGAATCTCGGTGTTAAATAGAACTGCAGTCTGTTGTAGTGATTCTTTGTCTAACAAACCAAGTTTGCTTGGGACTTCTCGAAGTTTTTGTGAACCCAACCGCTCATCTTAGAGCTATTGAACAGGAAAATGACGCAGAGTTTCACGTTTTTCGTAATGCACTGGAAAGCCGTCATGGTTCATTCAAGGAAATAGTAAAATTTAAGTTTATTCGCGAGATTAGATAAGATTCCCCTTAAATGGCGCGTCACCTTTACTTTTTTCAATCCCTGGATCTGAAAACCGACTAGCTTAACACTGAAGACCAAACCTTCTGTTATTGTTTGTAAGAGAATTTGTGTCGTATCAAGTCAATATCCCAATGATAGTTTTCTAAGTTCTCGTTACCTGTTTGTTGGATAGTGCATCACCCCAGAATCACACATTGATGTCTAGGAAATAAACGAAAAGACCACCAACTAAAGAGGCTCTTAATTCTTTTGTTTTTTTTTAACTTCCTTGTCAGCTCCTCAGAAAATGTCATAAAGAAATGTAAAGTACAACCCATATTGAAAGTGGAACCTACTGGGATACGAAGGAAATACGTTATTTGTCTTGTCTTGGAAAACAAAAATCCACGTCCCCCCTCAAAAGGAATAGAACCTCAGTCATTCATATTTCGCGAACCATGTTTTAAGATTGAGAGACAAAGAACTATTTGGCATTTAAGGCCTCACTAGATTCATGTGTGACATGCGTTCAGCATTCTGCGGGGATCAACCACGTCGAAATTGTGTTGTAAGTAAATAAAAAGATGGAAGATTTTTCAATTTCAATTCATTTTTTTTTACGAAAATCGGGCTTATTCAGGGTGTCAGTTATTATCTTCCTATCACATTTTTAACTTGTATAGTGCACTTAACTAAACATTTTACATTTACAGCCGCATTTTTCACCCCACACTTCTAGTTTAACCCCTTCTCTTGTTAACATTCAATTCATTGAGTGTGTCGATTTGCTACAATAGATGACGATGTTAACAATTCTTGCTTCATGAAGATTCTAACAGACATTTCTATAGCTTTATAGGAATAATTTGGAAATGATAAGTATTCAATGTTCTAAATGACTAACTTCATGGATGGAGCCCTAGTGCGTACGACAGAGAAATCTGTCAACCTAAATGATACAGTAATGCAAAGAGCCACTTTTAGCAGAATTCCGACACACTCACCAGAATTGTTCACAATAATTTTTACAAGAACTTGTGCAATTGAGCGCCATTGGGCCTCTAAAGAGATTTGTTGGCAAGAAACGTCTCCTGGTCAGCAGCAAAGGAAACGGGTGATTCTAGACTTAACAGATAATTACTCTGGCACAATATAACTGTTCAGGTGGTTTCGCACACCGAGACTACAGCGTAAGCTATGGTGACCTCGAGCTAATGCCGTATTTTCTTCTCTAACTCAAGAGGGTTTGAAATAACCTATTCTTAGTGCTGGCCTGGTACCAACTTTTACAAATCACCAGATGAGCTTGATTTCAACTGCAGAGCTTTCTTGACATTCCGCGCATGTTCGTTGATTCTCCTCGCTTGTTTGGCGTCCGGGGTATTCGAGTCAATCTGGTTTTCTTTCAAAGAGTCACCACTGGATGGCTGTTTCATGGGCAGTGATGTCCTGTCGGATCCCTCTACTATGGAATAACCTTTGAGAGGTGTGCTGCCATTTAACGGAAAAAAAAAAAAACATCAAGGAACCGCAATGTGAAATAATTTAGAAAAAGTGACACTCCTGTCAAATACTCACCCGTTAGTTACATCGAAAGCTTTAGAATTTTCTGTTTTTAGAGACAAGGCCTTAAATAGCTCTTCTGTGTTCGGGATTTCAACGGGTCCGTCCCGCGGGATATTAGGAGTGCCTCTGGTTTCGAATGAGATAAGACCTCTTGGTGCGGGAGAAAACGACACGGGGCTGACTTGAAGCCGAGGGCCATCTGGTGCTAAAAACAAAATATCATTTAAACCTACATGAAACTGAATAATGTAAAATTAGAGCAGAAGAAAAGTTTTGACGAACAGGTTACACTGAAATACGTAAGCTACCCTTCAAACCAGCTACAAGACGCACATTGGGTCATTTCCCTGTCAAACGAAGACTGAAACAGACAGAGTCAGACAGATAAACAGATACACTCAGACAAACAGACTCAGGGAGACGGACATAGCCAGACAGAAAGACAGTCAGACAGACAAGTGGACAGACAGAAGGACAGACAGAAAGACAGTCAGACAGACAGACAGAAAGACAGTCAGACACAGTCAGACAGACAAGTGGACAGACAGAAAGACAGTCAGACAGACAAGTGGACAGACAGAAAGACAGTCAGAAAGACAGTCAGACAGACAAATGGACAGACAGAAAGACAGTCAGACAAACAAGTGGACAGACAGAAAGACAGTCACACAGACACGTGGACAGACAGAAATAAAGTCAGACAGACAGACAGAAAGACAGCCAGACAGACAAGTGGACAGACAGATAGACAGAGAGACAGAGAGACAGTCAGATAGACAAGTGGACAGAATGACGGGAGGGTGGATGAACGGCCACACAGTTAGTGCCACTAAAAACACTGTAACAATTAGCACTCAAGGTTATATAAAGCTTTACATTTTGATTTTCTTCCCTCAGGTGACTGATTTCTTAGCGGTGTCAAGAGCTGTTGCTTGTAAAACGAGGCTCGTTCCTCTTCAAACTTCTTTCTCTTAAAAATAAAATTATAATAATCATTAGTGATAATATAATAGAATCAGTACAAGAGCATGCTGGGAATATTTCTCCAACCTCCATCAACTTTGGTTGTAAAAATATCCTTGTTGGTGTTCCACTATCCTTTTGTTTGGCTGGTGACTATGCAGCAACCTTCATACAAAGTTGACCCTCTCACTCCTAAAATCTCATTTAGTAATTCTCCTACCTGTCTGCTATACAACTCTTATGATGCTAATTTCGAGAATTTGGTACTGGATCATCCAATAATCTCATCACTTGTCTGTTTGATAGCATAATGATAATGTAAGAAGAAATTCTTACATTATCATTATGCTATACATTATCATTGATCGTACATGGGAGCTAAAGGGTTAACAAATAGACTCCATGTTGCTGTACATTTTTTCAGTCATATATCACTTACGATGTCAAAATGTGGTAACGTTTTGCCTAGGAACTTAGTGTTGTAGGCTTTTCCTCACCATCTACACCCTGTCGCAATGGATGTGGGCCTCCAGATACGCTTGACATTGTGAAATATTTTGTCAGAAAGTGGGGGTCACTCCCTCCCCTGGAAACAAATATGGTCTCCATAGACTTTGATTTCTTTTTTCGGCTTGTACATTGTTGTATAGCAAAACAATTTTGTTGGCTCATTGCATTTTCACTTGATCATCACCTCATGCCCAAGTTTTACAGCAGCATCTGTCAGCTGTCTCTTCTCCTTCTCTAATGCTGCTCTTCGCTCGGCAAAGAACTGCTTGTCAGATTCAAATTTTTCTTGTTCCTCATACAACTGAGAGTTAACCTAACACAAGGATAAGAGAACTTTTAAGAAATATCACTCAAGATCTTTTTTTTTTAAAAAAGAAACAGCTATAAAATCATAGTCATTCTTTGATTAATGACAGAGAGTTTAATCTCATTAACAGCTGGATAGTAATTATAAAAAAACTTACCAGAAATGTTGAATCATTTGAGGGAGAATTAACCTTTGACTGCAAGGACTAAAGAAAAAAAATGGGTGTGCAGAAAGTAAGATCACAAAGAAAAGGTTTCTTACAATATTTGACTTCCTTAAAAGTTCAGCTTATTGCATGTGGGTTGGTAAGGTAAGGTCTGTACTCCACCCAAGTGGCTCATCCAGCCCGACCTTGTCCTGGATTCATCGGCATGAAGCAACTAGGAGTATTACTATCCCCCCCCCCCCCGGATGCAATGCTAGTCCATGGCAAGTTTGCCCCAAAGCACTTCATCAGGCTCCCCTGACAATTCAGAGGTACCCACTTACAGCACATTCATGGGTGGAGAGATGCACCATGAAAGTAAAGTGTTTGGCCAAGAACACAACACAATAATCTGGCCAGGTCTCAAACCAAGACCACTCGACCCAGAATCCAGTGCACTGACCATAGAGCCATTGTGGCTCCCATGTTATTAAAAAATACATCATACATTATAGGCAACCATGTTTACATACTTCTATGAGTTGTTTCTGCTGTTCCACAACATGTCTGTAATTCTCTAACTGCCTTTCCAACCTTGAAATTTCCTCTGCTTTTGGGGAAGAGGGTCCTAACAGCATGAAGCAGGTTGAAAGTTAACAAAGATAAAGTTCTTCAATTTATTATTGGGGGTCAACAATGTTTATTCTTACCATTTGAAGAGCCTTTATTTGCTTCCTCTAATCTTGACTTTAGCAATCTCCATTTTTCTCTTAAACTACTCTCAATTCCTGCAAAATAACAGACACAGTGCTCTGATTGATTTCAAATAATAAAAACTCCTTCAGTTTTAGCCCCTCACTCCCAAGATTTCAAAGTCAATTATCCTTCATGTCTGTTATATATTTTTAGAGATAATTTTACACTCTCATCATCTTGCTGCTTAAGAATATATTGATGTTGTAGGGAGAAGTCACCCATTGGTCAGTCTTAGGAATAGAAGGGTTACTAAATATCTTTAAAATAATTTGAAAACACAGTGAATCAAATTTTTGGTAGTTTTGACTAGTGACCCATGTTAGAAAACAAAAGTAGTAAATGTAACCAATACCTACGGAAGAAAATTCAGGTACAAAGTAAATGCTTTGAATATCATTGTAAACTCTGATGCGAAAAAATTCGAAAAATTTCAGCCTGAAATACTGACATACCTTCTCTAACCATATCATATGGCATATTGAAATGTCCTGTTGATAATTCCTCAACTGATCCAGACTCACTGATTTCACCAACCTTCAAATGTTAACAAAAAAACAAATAAGTTTAAATCTTAAAGAGAAAAAAATAATGTCAGTGGTGGCTCTGACAGGATTCCTATATAAAAATGGGGTTTAGGCAAGACACAGATCAAGCAGAAAGAAGAGTTACTACCCTATTTCCAACAGTCCTTTAAAAATACAACAACTTCACTTCATGTTCTCTTTTCTACATGTGCCTGCCTTTTCTCCTACAGTTACCTTTTTGTCACTAAGTCTAACATAATAAAATATGGTCTGTTTGCCTCTAACAAGTATGACAAATTATGCATAACTTATAGTTATACATCCTTCTGTAAATAGTGAATGTTGGGGTACATGTGAACAAAAATTTCCTGTATACAGTATGTAAATTAAATTAAATTAAATTAAATTAAATACCAACCTCTGTGTTACTTTCATAATCTTCATTCTGCTGATTAAGCAGTTTTATTAACTCCACCTGCATGCTTTTAAGAGTTTCCCTCATGTCATTATTTTCCACCATGAGTTCCTGAATTTGAATGTTAACAAAAATTAAGTTCATTCCTTCAGAGTTGGTTAAGTATTTCACTGCTCATCTGTTATACACACAGCTAAATGGAGGATTAGGCTACAGCGTATGTGCACTTTGAAAAAGTATTGCCGTTATATTCTTTTCCTCATGAATGGTGCAAACACTACAAATTACACTTTCTGTTTGGAAAAAACTGCACACATTAGACAACATGAAGATATACCTTTTCTCTTTCTTCATAATTTGTGACGAGCATTCTATACATTTCTTCCTCATTTCTGTCAAAAAGTAAAAAAAAGTAAGATAAGAAAAAATGTGCAGAAAATATTCATGACCATGTATGAAACTGCTCTTATGATAAAACATTAGCTCTATTCCATGTCATGTGAAATATGTACATGTATGTTGGAGTATTGTCACTTCTACACACTAAAAGGCTTCGAAAAAATGTCAAAATTCTAAGACAAAGAAAACAGCAAAGGAACTGGTTAAAAATTAAAATATCAAAGAGTTTTAAAAACTTTATACTTTGCAGATCCAGTCTTCCACATTGCACGTTGTGCTCCTGCAGGTCTGTTTATTAGATTTAAGATGTCCAAGCCAACTTTCTTTTCTTGGTTTTTGTCTGTTAGGAGTTGGTGAATCCTTTCCTTAAGTTTACTTAATTCTCTTTCTTTTTTTCTTGTCTCGTGGTCAAACTGTTTTTGCAAGTGGTGTGAATTGGCTTTGGTTTTCTTTAACTGTAAAATAAATAAATAATATAAAATACACAGAAAGTTGGAGACTGAAATAACTCTTAATTCATAGTCTCATGAAACTCTAAATAATGTTAACATGAAGTTAACAAAAAGTTCTGTCTAAAACATTGATAATACAATAAATTGTATATGGTGAAACTCCAAAAAGGAACCCTTAACTTCTTATAGGTAAAATAAGTTCTCTGTTTAAAATGTATTTTAATACAACTAAGGAGCTGTTAGCTCCAAGTTTAAATCCTATTGATGAACTTTTTTAAAAATTCATGCCTGGATAATAGCAACAATGTCTAGTAACAACTGTTTAAGAGTAAAGTAGTTACTAGATATCCACCTCCCAGTTAGCTCAATGGATAGAGTGCTGGACTGTTGTGTGGG